CATTCCTGCACTGAACCACGTCTTGGGAGTACAACCAGAAGCCACTTGGTCCAGACCTAGGGTGGCCACACACAGTTCTCATAGACAGTCCATAAAGCCAGAGGTCAGGAGCCCAAAAGCCATGGACAGTGGAGAACACTCCAGGAGCAGCCAGATCCTCCCCAGCCAGACAAACCACCACCGCTCTCAGGCCTCAGTCTGCTGTTCACCTGGAAAGCAAGCATCAAATCAACACCAAACGATTTCCAAGTGGGCTGGGCTAATGACTTCCCCAAAACTCACAGCCTTCTGTGAACCTCAGACTGTGACCCTATTTGGATACTGCAGCAGTAATTAGTTGAAACTAAGATAAGGTCAAACTGGAGTAAAGTGGACCTCAAATCCAGTCTGCTAGTGTCCCCATAAGCAGGGGAGAGACAGAGGCAGACCACACAGGGAAGACGTCGTGGCACAGAGAGGGGAAGGCTGGGTGCCCATGGGGCAGGGTTGGGAGGATGGTTGACAAGCCAAGGAACATCAGGTTGAGACAAGGGAGCGACCTTCTCTGGAGCTTTCAGAGGGGGTGTGGTTCTGCTGACACTTGGACCTTGGCCTTGTGACCTCCAGAACAGACAGAGAATACGTATCTGTAGCTTACACCACCCTGTATGGCCTGCGTTGGAGCAGCAGCAGGAAGCAAATGCGCCACAGGACACGAGGCTCTGAAATGGTTTGGACTGGTGTGCCCCTGTGAGGGGGTGCGGGGGGCGGACGCCTAGAAAGAGCTCCACAGCTTGTCTCGGAGACCTCTCCCAGCCGGGTCTGACCTGGCTGGATAGAATCTGCCCAAGAGCCCAGGCCTGGTGCAGGGCCTCATGTCCACTCTGCTGACTGGATGCCTTTGATTCCACACTCCTCCCAGGCCCCTGCTTTTGTCCTCCCCAGGACCCACTTGATTGGCAGTCTCTGAATCATAGACTACAATCAGTCACCAAACACTTGTTTACTTTCCATGCTCCCCTGGTCACCAGAACAATCCCCAGGGGGTTCTTTATTCCAATTTCCTTGTCTGGGGAGGCTGAGAGAACCCTGACTGGCAGGACTCTGCTTCCTGCTTGGGGCTGGGTGTGCTCTGTTGGAGGGCAGGGCGCTCAGCTGCTCAGCCCTGGGTCAGCCCAGCAGATGGAGAAGCAACTGCAGTGACTCGTCACTCAGGGCATTTCCAGCCGTGTTAGGGATGCTATTTACAGTTATGCTGGGACAAATGGGGTGGAGAGGGGCACAGGCAGTCTCCCTGCTTGGAAGCAAAGTCACGAGCCAAGCAATTGGACGAGAGCGGGAGAGTGACAAAGCCTGTCGTGCTCTGACATACATGCTTGTGCCCAAGCAGTAAATGTGAACGGAATATGTGTGTTCGTGTGTACGTGGCCTAAGAACCAGTGGGCGAGCTATGTGACCGCACAGACTCATGGGACTACATCATCACCTGTGTTTTGTATCTTATTCGGTAAGGAATGGTTCTTTCTGATTGGCATGAAAAGTCAGTGATCTCATGATCTCTGGTCACAGAGCACTGTTGTCACCTGAGAACTTCAAAGCCCAGTTCTATATAATACTCACAATTCTGAACTAGGTTGAAATATTTTCATTGTATGCTTTAAAGGAATTTATGGTAATTTTTAGAATAATAGTATTAGGGATTTATGAGTATTTGCATGTATTTGATACATGTGTGTATATGTTAACATATGTATTTTTATCTCTTTAAGATATGTACTTCAATATTATGTTAGAATCTGTAGAATTTCTTCAGAATAATCCAAGAGGGGGAAGTGGTGGAGGTGGGCACAGATAAAGTAAGATTAACCAAAGGTTGATAACTATTGAAACTAACTGATGAGCACGTGGGAGTTCATTATAATATTATCTCTACTTTAACGTGTGTTTGGAATTTGCCATAACTGAGATGTTGAGTGTTCTCTCTCCTAGCCTGCTAATACAGGGTGGGACCCTGAGTTGGGGAGGGGACAGAGCAGGCAGAGGCA